CGGAAGTCATTAATGGAGAAGGATACGGACGCAAAGCAGATATTTGGTGAGATCTGAGATTCATGTAAAAATACATGACTGGAAACAAAGCTATTGTTTGCTAACAGTCCCTTACGTCTCTCTCCTCAGGAGTGTCGCCTGCACGGTCGTAGAGATGCTAACTCAGAAACCCCCATGGGCTGAATATGAAGCTATGGCAGCCATTTTCAAGATCGCAACCCAGCCGACCAAGCCAAACCTGCCCGAGGGAGTGTCCGACGCATGCAGGGACCTCCTGCGGCAGATCTTTGTGGAAGAGAAATGGCGGCCCACTGCCGAGGGGCTTCTCAGTCACCCCTTTGTCCAGGGCAGCTTTTGATCCTACAGATCTCGGATCTCTCTGGAATCCCCAGGGAAAGCCACACAATCACGCGAACAATCACCACTCTGCCTTCCAGGGTCCGGAGAAACCCTCCAACCAGCCAACTAAGAACAAACTTGACCATAAAGAGGGGATGTGTATTTCAGATCTCCTCAATGCAGCTCGACAAATATCACGTTAAGAGGGAATCTAATCTATGGACGGAAAAAACGAATAGCATTTCCCGTATTGTTCATCAGAATGGTGCATAGCTCTGTCCTAAATGACGTACTTGTGACCTTTTGCTGAATGGACTTTTTTCACATTTCCAGGGTTTTCAGAAGCGGATGTCGTCGGATAAACAGTTGGATAAACTTCTTTAGTGGTGAACGGGGGATGATAGCAAATATGTTTGTATTCCAATTTCCTCCAAAAAAAAAAAATCCAAGATGGTGTTTCCACGACTTTCCAAAAGATGGAAAAAATATTAAGAGATAAATTTTGTTGGTCAGAACTGAGCATGATCAAATGGTCAAAATTGCCATCACTTCCTCAGCCATTGTATTAGAATCACCGTCACAGCAGTGTTAATTCATAACATGTTTTTGTCATTTACTGCCAAGGTAATATAACACACTGTTATAGAAATGTCTATTATTATTTTTAATGAAAATATGAACAACTTCTAGATTTGCGATGTTGATAACTGGAAACGCGTTATCACAGTCGTTCACTGCATACTGTTACCCAACATCCTTTGCGACAAAGTATGGACAGTGAGAGCTGAGAGTGGGTCAATGACATAACATGGTTTTCTTGTCCAGATCCATTCATTTATTCAAAATAAATGGATGACATTTAAATTAAGTACAGCTGCCCTTATATCATAATAATTTTTTTTTGTAGTTTGGCATAATATTTCATTATTGAATTGCATAATGTCATGTGATGTGACTCTCCAAAACCTTAATATTTCTGATTTAATCATTTATTTATATTTCAAAAAAAAAAAAAAAAAATCTTTACATTGATTTTTTTTTTTAATAATCACAAATAATCACACAAATAGTGAGTGTACACATATAAATTGTTCATTTTGATTAACATCACAATCACTAATAATTATGTATTTAAGGTCCGAGGAATATGTATTATTTTTCACATGATAGTTACACCATATTACATTTTTATAGTCATTAAATTTCTTAAAAATGGTATAAAAGGGTTTCAAACTCAATATGAAACCAGCATGAATATACAATAATACTTTTCTGAAAATGTAAAAATTTTTTAAAAGATTTTTCCTTTTTATTTATATGGACGCTCTGATTTGTCATTGACCCCGGTGCCATTTGGGACAGAGCCTGTGTCATGGGACTGAACCAGCTTTGGTAGGATGCTACAATGCAGTGCCAACACTTAGTATACCGGCACAGATTGGCACATAATGTGTCACTGGTAAAAAAAAAAAAAAACCTGATTACAATAGCATAGTTTACATGCATTACTGCCTGTTGACTTTATCGGACCCCCCGATGCACTTGAAACCAGCCCAAGCGCTCTGATGCGTTACCACAGGGGTTGCTGAACAAATCACATAGGGCCTGAATTTGGCACAAATGTATTAAGAGTGTCATCTTAAGATGGCGAGAGTTAAACGTGGTCTTTTGTATAGCAGAATTCAGTCGGTCATTTTGATTATGGCTCATGTACCTCTGTATCCCTGGGTCCAATCCTGAGTGTCATTGAAAGTACATAGAAAAGACCTCATGGAGAAAATATAAAGATAGATGTACTGTACAATACTCATTGGAGTAATTTTTTGTTAAGAATACTGTGTTTGATGGTTAGAATCTAACCAAATGAGAATGAGACAGAATAAGACGTATACAACCACCAAAGTGGTACAGTATGAGACAGAGAATTTTTTTTCATGTCTATTCAGCTAATGAAGACTGTATAAACACGTCTTTTTTATATTATGTAAAGTTTTAGTTAAAGCACTCTTTACCCAGAGTTAATCACTGTAAATACATTCCCATTGCAATCTTGGACTCATGCATAGAGCACATAGTATAATCAGCTGAGATTCAACGGATATTTTTATACTTTTCTTTTTCTTTTTTATTCACGTTTGGAATGACAATAACAAACTTTTTGTATTATTATAAAACTTACCCTAAAGTGTCAAAGCAATATTTTAGAGAAGACTACTACGGCTGGTGATTTAGCATTCTTGTACTGTTCGCTCAGTCAAATACAACCAAAGAGCAAGTGATATGCTTGAATTATGAATTTGGACACTTCAGAACTGTTCAGTTGCTGCTGAAACAGTCGCTGTCTTGATTTGTAACCTATAAAGTTGTCGACTCAAACATGCAAACTTTTTTTTGTTGTCATCATTATATAAATATATACACAGTGTAACAAAAATATCAAATGTACATTGTTTTAAATGCCATATTATTTTGATTTTGTCCAAATGTAAATGTTAAACTTTCAACACTTGATACTATGATACTGTTTTTGTTTTGAATTGGAGAAATTCACCAGCAGCAATTCATGTTGCAAATAGTGCCTTCTCTGATGTCCTTATTCTGAGAGGTCAGTCATTTTTAAAACATTTAACGATGGAATGTGTTTTCTGATGTCCTTCAGATGGTTTCAGTATCAGACACTTTGGCGCTGAAGATCTTTTACTGAAGATGATTGTACTGTAAATAGATACTGTAACGAGCTGTCATAATGTTTCATTATATTCACAATACCTTAGTCCCAGTATATTATGATTGTGGAGAGGTCTGGGTTTCAGTGATCTCAGCTGAGTGAACCAGACCACACTGGTTTTTGAGGGGCTAAGAATGGAGAATTCTGTGCTGCCTTGATGAAAAAGCCTGGAAACATTTATCAGTGATTTTGTACATTTGAATAAATAAATTTATTGTCTACAACCAGCTTCTGTGCCATATTGTTAGTTTATGTAATTAGGGGTTCAAGCGCGAATCTGCTTTTCCGAACTGCTCATAGGCCGTTTGTCCGATTCATTCGAAACTTGACATGCATCATCTAGAGACCCTCAAGGCAAAAAGTTGTCAAAATAATTTAGATTGAGGATTCACGCTCGCGACGGGACGCCAAAACATTTGAAGTAGGCAGGGCCACTTTCACTAAAATGGCTATAACTCTTAAGTGAGCCAATGAGTGGTCCTCTGCTGCCATCTACTGGTTATAATGGTAATTTTGTCATTCTACTCACTAATATAGTTCTTTTCACAGGTTTTGCTTTTGTATTCTTTTATTGACATAATAAAATCACTATTATAACATTTACAATAACATCTTGTCAAAGTTTATCACTTCATTTTCCCATCAGTTTTGACAATTGTGCCACATTATGGCTAATGTGAAACCAGTGACTGACCTAAGGTCTGACTATGGTCTATGAGCAATACATTTGTTACTGTATTTATTATTTGTTAATGTGCGTTGATAAAAATATAAGTGTTCATTGTTAGTTCCTGTTTGCTCAGGTTCATTAAATATAGGCCTAATATTATCAGATGCAACTTTCAATTTTAATAATGTATTCGTAAATGTTGCAGCATTAGCTATAATTAATAAAGCATACGTGTTTTTCAATGTAATGAATGTTGATAAAAGATAAGACAAGATAAGATAAAACAGAAGTTTTGATTATTGGATCAAAAGCACAGAGAGAGAAATTGACCCCTTAAACTGGGATAAAACTAGCAAAGAGGCACAAAAAAACAGGAGTTCTCTTTGATTTTTATTTCAAAGCTCATGTACATAATATTACCAAAACAGCATTTTATCATCTAAAGAACTATAATAAGACCAAAATAAAATTATATGCATGCATTTAACAAGCAGACTTGACTATTGTAATGCCCTTCTTTCTGGTCTACAATTAATCAACTACAATCAATCCAAAATACAGCTGCTCGCGTACTGATAAACACCAAAAAGAGATCACATTACACACCTATATTAAAGTCATTACACTGTTTTCATATTGATAGTTTATAAGGAATTGCATGAATTTGCTAAAAACTATCTCTCAAAAATGCTTTCAGTTTATGAACATACCCAGGACTCTTAGATTCTTTACTTTTAACTATACCAAAAAGTAGAACTAAAAGATTTGGTGATGCTGTTTTAGCCGTTATGCTCCTCACCTCTGGAATAACATTAGGGAGGAAGAATAAGATGTGCTGAAAATATTAATAAATTACAAAAATATATATTTATTCTGGCTTTCCTGTAATGTTCAACGTAAAGTTTTAATTGTTTATTTTATTGTCTATGGTTTCTTTCTTGCCTGTAAAGCACGTTGAACTGCATTTATTTGTTAAAAAAAAGTGCTATATAAATCAAATTTGGTTTTTAACTAAAAATGATTTTAGTGGATGACATTCCGCTATGTCTAACAGCCGTGTCTAAGGAAAATATATCAAATGTTTTAGTTTGAACACTTGAAAACTTTTTTATATGTAGCCTATGAAAAACATTTATTTATAAGTATTATATTTTGTTAAATCGTGCAGACATTCGCGGTCAGTTGAAAGAGTTGACATACTTTTTGTTTATTGATGGTAAGGAGAGCACATGCGCTTTCAGACTGCATGTTTGGTAACATCACCTCCTCACGCGCATGTTACTAAACGTGCTCGTCACTCTTTCTTTGCTGCTGGTCTGCATGTTCAACGTAAACACGACCGCTCGAGACTTCTTGTTAAAGACCGATTGCCAGGATGTCCGCTTCTCGTACGGTCATATGTCTGCTGAGAAACGACCTGCGTCTGCATGATAACGAGGTAAATATCACACAGCCTAGTATTGTATGTAATCCAGAGCCGTGTCTCTCTATGGCTCTGATGTAGGAGCATGAATCGTCTCTTGTCTCGAGCAAACCACACGCGCCTAAATCCGTGTGCATAGACTTATCCTGCTCGATATGACATGATGTCCAGCTCGAGATATAAGACGTCACAACGATTCTCTTTCTAATATTACTTTTTAAACACAAAACGGAACACTTGAAAATAATAAATGGACTTTATAGGAACTGAGGCGAAATCTGGCCGCTCATTGGGTAGTTTGTCGGCTCGTCACAAGGGGGCGTGGTCACATAAACTTGCATAAATATACATCATTTATATATTGTGCCGCTATATATTAATATTATTAATTGTTAAAATATAATGAATTGTCTCACATGATCTTTAAAATTCTAATTAGCAGATTTGGTTCTCTCAGATTTCATATATATATATATATATATATATATATATATATATATATATATATATATATATATATATATAATTAATAACTAATCTAATTACTGTAATTTAATTACTTTTCCCTTGAAAAAGTAAAGGGATTACAAATTTTTTTGTAATTTAATTACAGTTACTTCTGATGTAATTGCTTTAAATACTGTATAGATTTAACATCATAATTTAATGTGAAAATGTATGTTTTTAATGTAACCTTCTCCCTTTACACACTTTGGTAGAATAGAAGTCCTCAATAGAAGTGCTAGCGTGTGACCATGCCCCTTGTGACCCTTACCGACAAACTACCCAATATATTTACCTATATATTTATCTTTTGAATTAGTAAACAAAATGTAGGTCTATAAACTACACTGTTCAAATTTTATGAACTGCTCTGCTTGCTTTGACACGTTAAGCTTTGTGGGACCTATTAAAAAACATGACAAACCGGTTTTACTCCATTCATCCAGGTGTTTCACTGGGCTCAGAGGAATGCGGAGCACATAATCCCCCTCTACTGCTTCGACCCGCGTCATTACCAGGGCACCCATCACTTCAACTTCCCTAAGACTGGTCCATTCCGTTTACTTTTCCTCCTGGACAGTGTGAAAGACCTGAGAGCAACACTGAAGAAACGGGGCAGGTGGGAATTTCCCATCACACACAAGATGTACATTCTGTCCACAATACTGATGTTTTATGATGAATATATGTTTGTATGCTCTTGTGCAGCACACTGTTGGTCAGGCAAGGAAAGCCGGAGGATGTTGTTGGTGATTTGATTAAGCAGCTGGGTTCAGTCTCAGCTGTGGCATTTCATGAGGAGGTGTGTTTCAGAGTGGCCACATACAGCTCTGTAAACTGTAAATGTAGCCCACAAATTCAGTATTTGCAGTCTTTCTGTCTATTGCCTGAAGGTGGCGTCAGAGGAAAAGACTGTGGAGAAGAAGCTAAAGGACATCTGCTGCCAAAACAAAGTCAAAGTTCAGACTTTCTGGGGCTCTACACTTTACCACCGAGATGATCTGCCATTCAGGCACATTGGAGGGTAGGACAAGTGTTGCAGTGTTAAATTAGTATTATTTATATGCTATTATGGTGTTTATTTATATTTTGAATTTGCCTTTTTATTTTATTTTGTCATGTGCTTTTGTCAGTTTTATTATAGTTTTTCATTCTTTTAATATCCCTTCCACTTCCAGTTTTATTCATTTTAATACTTCAACTTATTTATTTCAATAAGTATTTATTTATTATAGTAAATATTTAAGTAAAGTAAATATTTATTTATTTTTTTAATCTTTTGTTTTAGTTTTTAAAGATTTCGACCATTTTTTATGTTTTATTTCAATTATGGAAATGATTTTTAATAGTTTTAGGTTACTAACAACAATTATTGAATTAAGTTTAGTTAATCCCTGCATGAGCTTTAGACAGTTACTGTAATTATAATGTTACAAAATTATGTAAACTGTCTGTGCCTCCCTACATAATATTTTGCCATTAAAATAATTAAATTAAATCTTAATATAAATTTTAGATCTTCCGTAGACTGTTCTTTCTTTCAACTATTTTTCCAAACAGGAACTTGATTTCAAAAGTGTGTAAGAAAACGTTATCTGAGAATGCAAAACACCACATCACAAATTTTCTAATTACATATTTAAGGAATTTTTTTTAATAGAATTTTTTATAATATTTATTCAAGACATTATTTAATATTGTGTTTTATATATACATTATATATATTGTGTTTTATATAGATTATATACAGTATATTGTGTTTTAAACTAATCTGTTCTTGTCTTTAAAATAGATTTTGGTGCTGACATATAATAAAAAATCAAATAAAATGATTGTTTTACCAGTTACTTTAGTCCATTCATGTTAGCCACTTAAACAGCTCATTTAGCAACTTCAACCTAGCTAAGCTTTGTAAAACACATTAACTTTCCTTGGAAACTTTACAGAACAGTACTGGAAACTATTTTAATTCCATTGTTACTGTTACTTCCTTTTTCTAAGACCTGATTACTAATTACAGAGTCCATTTCAGTGCATGTGGGGTCAGTAATTTAAATGTCTGACTGAAGTTCCTGTTCTTTTCCGCTGTCTTTGAAAGGTTACCTGATGTTTACACCCAGTTCAGAAAGGTGGTTGAGGGACAAGGCAGAGTGCGACCGATCCTTTCCACCCCGGAACAGGTTAAATCTCTTCCCCTTGGACTGGAAGAGGGTCCTATACCTACATTTGAGGGCCTGGGACAAACAGGTACCTTGATTTACGTACAGTAACTGTACTGGAATATGTGTAAACCCGGTAACGCACACATCAACCTGATCACTTTATTTAGCGTTCACATAAACACTATATTCGGATTCATCTATCGGAATTATTTGATGTAAACGTAGCTACTGACATTTAACAGCTTAAATCACATTTAGAGTAAACTGCACCAATATCTCTAGATACAAAACATAACATAATATTTCCTCTTTCGTAAGATTGCAGTTTTACATGAATTGTGCTCTGATTTCCTCTCAGATGACTGAATAATCCTCAGAAGGATATTTGGAGGATAAAACAATTTATCTTATGTTGACCACAAAGAACAGCCATGATATATTACCTATCTGTGGTTTCAGAGCCTGTGATGGACTGCCGCTCGGCCTTCCCATGCCGCGGTGGAGAGACCGAAGCTCTTGATAGGCTGAAACATTACTTCTGGGATACAGTGAGGCTTGCTCTTCCTTTTTCCTAAAAAGAACTTAATCAGTGAAAGAGGGTTATTTCATGTTCTTGTTTTATCACAGAATGCCGTTGCGTCTTATAAGGAGACTCGGAATGGCATGATCGGAGTGGACTATTCTACAAAGTTTTCTCCTTGGTGAGCCTTCGAAATGATGTTTTCATTATGCATAAGCAAAGCACAGACTAATGCTGACCCTCCTTCACTTTACTTCAGGCTTGCTTTGGGCTGCATATCACCCAGGTACATCTATGACCAGATAAAGAAGTATGAGGCCGAACGAACCGCCAATCAAAGCACGTACTGGTGAGTAACTGGAATGTGTTTTCAAAGAAGATGAACTCATTTCAGGTTTTTATGTGTAAGGATACTAAATTTGTCTTCACCAGGGTGATATTTGAACTTCTGTGGAGAGATTACTTCAAGTTTGTGGGTTTAAAATACGGAGACAGAATATTTCATATGAATGGTAAGTTTGGATTTGTTTTGTTTAAGATTTTTTAATGTTTTTGAAATAAGTTTATTATGCTCACCAAGGCTGTATTTATTTGATCAAAAATCGAGTAAAAACACGATAGCAACCAAAATAGAGTAAATCACCTTTTGAAAGTCGCTTAACGAGTGTATCGATTACATATATGAAAAACGTTCATAAAGATGTGACTGTTAAAGCTGCATATTTTGTTTCACCTGTCTGGATCTTACATGTGTGTTCAAGCATATTCTACCCCTTCTGAGAGGGTATTCTCCAGTGCTGGAGATACAATAAGCTAGGAGAGGTCCCAAATTCTCACAGAGAATGCACAAATTGCTAAATAATGTTGAATTTGTTGACATTACCAGTCTGTTAAACTCATTTGACAAATATAGGAAATAAACACAAAAGGGATTGTTTGAGTTGAGTAATGTGCAATTTTTCCTTACTACTATTTTTTTATTAGTTGTTTAATCATTTTTATTGAATCGGAACCAGAATCGTTAGGCGGAAGCGGAACCGGAACATTTCTTACGATTCCCAACCCTACTGTTATGTGTCCGACCTTGCGACCAGCGTTTACTACAGTAGCTTGAGTAAAGTTGATCTAGTGGATCTCTTAGCTCGTGTGAGTGAGTGGAGCAAAAACGTTAAATATGTTTTAAGGGATACAATTATTGACTACGAGGGGACTTTAAAATAGCTGAATTGAATTGAAATGAATTGAATTGAAAAAATCATTCTAATATGCTGATTTGCTGCTCAATCAACATTTCTAATTATCATCAATGTTAAAAACAGTTGTGTTGCTTAACACTTTTGTGAAAACTGTGATAACTTTTATCCAGGATTCTTTGATGAATAGAATTTTTTTTTTTTACATTATAAATGGTTTACTGTTACTTTTGCTCAATTTAATGCATTCTTGCTGAAGAAAAACTATGCTGATTTAATTTCTTGCAAATAAATTACCAACCAAAATGTTTCTCAATTCTCAAAATGGTCAAATTTTGTCTTTTTTTATTTATTTTATACTTTAACTGACACAAAGCTAACTAAGGAAGCCCAAAAAAACCAACAAAACATAACAATCATAAGCAAAAAAATAAAAATGAAGAAAAACGTTGTAGTGCTCAATTACATTCTAATATAATATTCAAATGAAATGGATGTTTAAATGATTAATATGATCATTTTTCATCCCTCATGAACTGAAGGTCTGCAAGACAAGCATGTTCCCTGGAAAACAGATATGACATGGTTCTGTGCATGGAAAGGTAATGTGTCCCTCAGAGAATCTGCTAGTATTCAGATTCTGTCATCATTTACTCACCCTCAAGTTGTTCCAAACCTGTATGAGTTTCTTTCTTTCCACAAAAGAAGATATTTTGAAGAATGTTGGTACAGCTGATGGCACCTATTGACTTCCATAGTGTTGTTTTCCTACTAGTCAATGGCTACCGTCAAATGTTTGATTACCAACACTCTTCAAAATATCTTCTTTTGTGTTCAACAGAAGAAAGAAACTCATACAGGTTTGGAACAACTTGAGGGTGAGTAAGTGATGACAACATTTTCATTCTTGGGTGAACTATCCCTTTAATCTCATAAATCAACTGAAGAATACACATTTAAATTGATTTTCTGTGAATTAATAGCAAGATATTTCTCCCATGTTGTCCAGAGGGCAGAACTGGGGTGCCGTTTGTAGATGCGAACATGAGGGAGCTTGCGCTGACAGGATTCATGTCCAACAGAGGACGTCAAAATGTGGCCAGCTTTCTGACCAAGGATTTGTGCTTAGACTGGAGACTGGGCGCTGAGTGGTTTGAATACCTGCTGGTGAGAAACGTTTGCTACAGTATATTTGATGGAGTGGGTTGATGCTTCCTGCTCTTTGCTGCCGTTTGATGCGCTATTATCTTTCATTGTCATCAGGTGGACCATGACGTCTGCAGCAACTATGGAAACTGGCTCTATAGTGCCGGAATAGGAAATGACCCTCGAGAAAACAGGAAGTTTAATATGATCAAACAAGGACTGGACTATGACAATAACGTAAGCAGTAGTTTTTACAGGTTTTTACAGGCACATAAAACCAAAAAACACTTGCATTCTTATTCATATATTTTGTAGTACATCTAAGCAAAAAAATGACAAGTTGTCACACTTTTTATTTTTAAAGGTTTATTATTATTTTTAAAAGTAGTTGTTGTTTTTTTACCAAGGAGAGTGCAATATCACCGTACACATATTGCACTTTTTTTTGACAAAGTTCTGCATACTATAGGGATAAGTTGTCACAATTTAACATAATTTAAACAGTAAAATAATTTTAAAACAATTCAAGGAAAACCAAAATCGGAAAGGGAAACATAAAAATATCAAACCATTGTTTTATTCTACATAAATTGTAATTAATAAATTAACAGATTAGTAACAATTAACAGCCTTTCGGAATGATTTAAATTGAATTAAATTACATTAAAATCTATTTAAAAAAATCTAAATAAGGTTAAACTTTATTTTAAGTTGTCCTAGTTGCAGTGTTATTATACATAATTTATAGTTATTACTATAGTAACTACATGTAACATGTAACAAGGACATTGTAAAATAAAGTGTTACCCAATATAAAATAGTTATAAAAATAGGCTAAATAAACTAAACTAAAATTTAAAGTGCTCAATTACAGTCTATCTAATATCAGCAAATAAAATGGATGTTTAAATGATTCAAATGATCATTAATAATGAATTAACAGCTGCCTTTATGGCCTAAACTGATTTTTTAAAATATATATTATATTTGTAAATGCACGTCCTGGTATTTTCCACTTTTAAATGCTTTTCATTGTCACTTAAGCAGGTTCTGCTATGAACGTAAGTGTAAATACAGGAAGAGGCAGTTACACATGTGTCTGATGTGTCCGAGATATTAATGCAGCATAATAAGGTATTTTTCTGTGCAAAATTGACACTAAATGTTGTATCTGTGAAGGGGAATTATGTCCGTCAGTGGGTTCCAGAGCTTGGAGGTATTAAAGGTGGGGACGTGCACACGCCATGGACCCTCAGCAACTCGGCACTCTCACACGCCAAGGTTTTGCTCAACGACACATACCCCTCGCCCATCGTCATCGCGCCCGAGTGGAGCCGCCATATCAACAACAAATCAGTAAGATTATTAACAACTGATTATTATTGACTATTAGGGGAAAATGCAAGCTTGTATTAATAAAACAACACAATATATTTGTGGTTTCTTTTTCAGTCTGGTCCATCATCAGCAAAAGGGAAGAGGGGCTCATCTTACACACCAAGACAACACAAAGACAGAGGCATTGACTTCTACTTCTCCAAGAAAAAGGGTTTCTGAGGATGAGATGTAGTGGATTGGTGCTGTAGTGGTTTCTTGAGCTGGATCACACAGAGTAGTGAGGCATCTGCTCGGGTTACAGACTGAAACGAGGAAGGGGAAATGGAAAAAAAATGGTGTGGTTTTGTGTTGCTCTTTCCGAATCTGTTTTCACACGCAGATACTGAAACTGCTACTCACATTCTGAGGACATTATGACAAACTGTAGCTCTAATTTTCATGTGTTTGTATATATTGTATTGGATACAATATTGTATTTTTGATTATTTTCATAAAATCTGCAAATGTCCTGGTTTAGTCAAGTGTGTTGAAAAGTTATACCTAAAAATAAATTTTGGGTGGAGTTTTGCATTTTGCCAGTGATTTATGATGTAAATTATAGACAAACTGAAAAAGTTTGAATAATGTGCACATTCAGAATATTTTCTTCATTTATTCGGAAATAGGAAGTGAGAAGTGCCAACTGTTTCAGTTTGGTTTTGAAAAGCTAGGCTAGGGAAAAGGCTGTAAGACAGCTGTGTGCTATGATTACTAGTCAGAGTACTAAGTAAAAAGCACTGCAATACTTTTCCTGCATCTTTTATTATAAGTTTTCTTTGAGGTATGAATATCAAGGACTTTTCATAGGGCTACTTCATTTGACGTGAACAAAATGTGCACTTTCACAAAATATGTAATGTTCTAAAGTGGTCATTTATGTGTTATGGTTTGGTTTATTGTCACATGACAACAAAATTGCTTCCTGCACGTTGTTTGTGAACCACTGGAAACAAAATTGTTTTGCTTCTTCTTTCTTTTTTTGTAAAATAATTATGCCAACATTTCTTTTTTCAAGACGTTCATTTGAACTAAAGTGTTTTTAGTGAGACTGTTTTTTACTCTCCTAACACTTGACCACATTCATTTAATTTAATTATCTATGTTTGGATAATTCTCTGTTCAATTTACTCATGTTGTCTAAATTATAATAATATTATAATTAACAATAAATTGACCACAGAAAATTCCAAACATAGACAAGTATTTACCTAATATTCAATACATTGAACCAAAACGCTCTTGGAAAGTAGACCATTTGAAGCCTTTTTTTTCTCAACAACTTTCTAGCGTAAAAGTTTCGGAAATTGTCCATATTTGGTGTTCTGCTCTTGCAAGCAGACCTGAGATCAGTTTTTTGCTGATCTCTCAATGACGCAGTAGATTCTAACAGCCGATCCTGAAACAGTCGATCCTCCCTTTTTTACGTAAACTTCGCACGGTCATGAGTCCATTGGCTGTACGCTTATTGCGTCATTTCTCTGACGTTTTCTAGTTTTGCGAACATTTCCTCAATCTTCACTTGGATTAAACAGCATGTGTTGTTGTTCAGTGTACTGTACTGCGTAGCATATATTCGTACATTTTGATTTCCTTCAGTTTATCGGTATCTTCAGTAAATGACACCTTAATATATTTAGCTTTTATTTTCTAAATCACGTTCTCTTCTGTAGTTAAACGAGGATACTAACAATCTCAGAGGATAACAGTGAGATGTTGCCCGTAAATATGGCATCAAAGTTAAGTAGCAGTATAAACCATGAGGAGATTCCAGTAACAGCTTTAAACTGCAATTTCCGAAAGAAACTGGGACTGTATTTGAATCCTCAAAACACAGTGGCAGCAGACTGGAGGACAGTCGCCGAAATGATGGACTATACCTACCTGGAGATCAAAAATTTCGAGAAAAGAGACTATCCCTTCGAAAAGGTTTTAACGGAGTGGGAAACTCGTCCAGAGGCCACAGTAGGAAATTTACTGTCGATTTTAGAAAAAGCGGAAAGGAAAGATGTTATATCAGATCTCAAAGAGATTATAGGTATGTCATCCATATTTTATTTACATTATAATATATACTTTATGTGATATAGCTTGTTGTAATAATATACAATACTATTATTACTGTTGCTACTAATATGTCAATAATTAAAATATATCATAAAATATTACAATTATTATTAATAATTAAAATGTTTGTTACGAATATTAATAAAATAAAAGTGCTTTATTTAGTAAATATATTATTAATATTAGTATTGTTGTTATTATTTTATATTCCCTTTCTTATAGCCTACAGTATTAACCCATAAGTAGAAAAAAGTGAATAAGAAAGGTCATGTTAATTCATGTCTACTTAATAAAAGGGTTAGTTCACCCAAAAATAAAATTTATCCCATAATTTACTAACCCTCAATTCATCCTATGTGTATATGACTTTCTTCTTTCAGCTTATATTTCTGTTATTATGGAAACAGACATTATTACATGACATCTTTTGAACACAAATATGCTCAAAGACCACGATTGAGAAAAGTATGACTAATCATGACTACCATTTTAAACATGCAATGTCATCGCTTATTTTGGACAAGAAGTGAAAGTCTCCAACTAAGTGTTATTGTATCTTGTTGGTGTTTCTGCACAGATGATGACTGCAGGAAGTATTTGGAAAGACAACTGAGGAAGCCCGTCCAGGTTCCAGTGGTGGACAGCTGCGGGCCCCGCACAAAGGAGCGAGAAGGAATCACGCTGTATGATGATCCACAAGGTGAGTTTTTTCCTTATTCAGTCTGAATGCACTGTAGAGTTAGTTGTTTATCAGTTTACCAAACTAATCATTGTCTTCATTGTCAACAGGACTAACACCGGAGACCTTTGATGCCTTCATCTGCTATTGTCAGAATGACTTCCAGTTTGTCCATGAGATGATCAAACAGTTGGAACAGACTGAATACAACCTGAGGCTGTGTGTATTTGACCGAGACGTCCTTCCTGGCACGTGTGTGTGGACCATCGCCAGTGAGCTCATAGAAAAAAGGTCTGTTTTGGGTTATTTTTCATCCAATGCTCAACACACACACACACACACACACACAAATACTTATTTTACAAAAATTTTAATTGTAATATTTAGCTGTAATATTTCTAAAACTGAATATCAACTCTTTATATCGTACAGTCGTGATAACTTTTCGTTGTTTATTTTATATGTTATAACTAAATTGTATATAAAATCATATCAGTGATTTATTGTTTATCAGCCATAACATAATTTCAAAAATCAGCGTATCAGCATTGGCTGGAATTTTAATATCGGACCATGCCTAGTTAATATTATTTCATAGATTTGTAAATTCTTGATGAATTGTCTAATATCTACTTTACATGTTTATAATCAATTGCAATGTTTGTAATAAAAAGAAATGTCCCATAGGTGTAAGAGGATGGTGGTGGTGATTTCCGATGACTATCTGGACAGTGATGCCTGTGACTTTCAGACTAAGTTTGCACTCAGCCTTTGCCCAGGTATAATATCTTTAATATTTATTTGAGTTGCATTACTGTTTTAATTTCTTCAGTAAGTGAGCTTATTAGGGCCAAAGGGCTTTTTGAGGCACTTAACATGCTTAAAATCTAAAATATGAAACTCAAATCAGAGTTGTCGGCCATTAGGCATGGTTGTGGTGGCAGACTCTCAGCACCCTTTTTTACAGTTTACATAAACTCGCTGCATATGTCATACATATGCACGTATGCGTATGATACTCTGTACATTTATAGTTCTCATTGAGCCAAATAACTTAAACCTAGTAGCTAATGATTTTGTGAATGCAGTGCATGCAGCAAACCTTTAAATAGGATTCATGTGATTGTCATCAAATTTAAACAGCATAATGCCGAGACATTGAAGATTCTAAATTGCAAATATTATTTTTATTGTCAAGTCAATTTTATTTGTATAGCACTTTTCACAAATTCACACATTAGTTGTGTCCCAAATGACTATGCACTTATATGCTTTGTACTCATCCGTGTAGTGTATGAATTTTATAAGGTTATTTTGTCATTCAACATTGGAGTCAAATGCCCCTCCCCCTCTGCTACGTAATTAAAGCTGCGACAGTTGAACATTGTCCAACATTCCAACATTTTTCAGTTAATTTAGTGCATCATCCGGGTATTTAAAGTGTACTTTTTCTATTTGGAACTTTCAGTGTGAACACACTACTCGCACTGTTTATACTACTAAACGTCATAGAATAGTGCATAAGTATGCGAATTTGGGCGCACCTATTGTTTCAAAGCAGCTGCACAAAAAATCATGATGTTATTACTCATAATATCTTAATGTCTAAAGGTGCGGTCAAATTAGTGAAATTTCAGCAAAATGTACATGCAAAAAAATCTCAATAATGTAGTGATGTGTAAAGCACAGCTCACACAGAAGTCAGTTTCAAACCCAGCAGCTTTCTGTTGATCAGCATGGCAAATGTGTGTAACCAAATGAAATCTGCATGGGGAACTTTACACCTTCACACAAAACTCCAGATCGTGCTGATTCCTATTGAAATGACCGGATTTTGCCCACAACATTTTGTGGAGCAACAAAAAAAATGGCCGCACCTTGATAGTTGCATTTAGCAGATTAGAGCTAGCCGATGCCGATAACCGTTTACATTTTAAAATTTAATTTCTATATAGTATGAAATGCTTTATATGGCTTCTATATACATTACTTTATATGGATTATTGGTTTTGCCATGGCTAGGATATGAATTTGTGGTGAAAAAAAAGTAAAACAGGAAGTATCTCCTATTTTTTGTGTGCATTCAGTGATTTTGATCAAACTTGAGCTGAATATTTGGTCATGGAGGGTGATCACATGAACATGACTATTGTGAGTAACGGTCATATCGCCACCTGGCAGCAGAAAGTGTGTCACTTGCAACAGGCTTTTGAAATAGTCCTCCTATATTTACCCACATAAAAGCATGTGCCCACCTTTTGTTTTTCTAGAGCCAACAGGTGGTGATTGAGCCCGTCATCGCTGCTTGCAGCTATATTTTAACCATTGAATTCTGCAGTTGTTGCTCTATATATTTTTCCATCTCTTTATATGATATATGATCAATATTGTAAGCTGTGCTGAAGTATGCATTTCATGTCATGAAAACTGAAGGATAATGCAGCTATAAAAGCAGCATAGAAATGCTCTTTTCGTTTTGTCTCTTCTGCAGGAGCTCGCTCTAAACGCCTAATCCCTGTTGTCTACAAAACAATGAAGAAGCCTTTTCCCAGCATTCTCCGTTTTCTGACCATCTGTGATTACACCAGACCCTGCACACAGGTTTGGTTCTGGACCCGACTGGGCAAGGCGCTCTCACTCCCCTGAACTTTTCTGTAGAAACCAGTAAAGGTTTACTATACAGTCATCACCAGGTAAAGCACACTATTCTCTATGGAGGATGAAGGGAAAATCCCTTCTGTGATTTTTGCTCGCTTGGAGAGTTTCTCAGACTCAGTGGTGAGTCCAGCTTATGAACATTTTTAACAAAGGTACTTTTTATGGTATTTACATCTGTGCCCTTATCAAAAGGTTGCTCAGCTTTCCAAAGCAAATCCCAAAAATGGTTCCTCATTTAGTTTTTTTTTTCTTGTCTTGTAATGTGCAGAAGTTTTTCTTTTGTTTTTTTGTTCATGTTAAGTGTTTTTGCATCTGAAATCTGAATGAGCATAATCATCCAGCTGTTATTTCAATTTATTCCCGGTTTGCTATCACTAAACTTTGATTATAGCCTATTGCAGTGATGGTACACTCTTAAAAATAAAGGTCCCGAAAGGGAGTTTTCACAGCCATGTTGGGTTCCCTAAAGATACTTTCAGTCAACATTTCTTAAAAGACACATCTTTGTGTGAAGAACATTTTAATAATCTAAAGAACCTTTTGTGGAATGCAAAGGTTCCATGGATGTTAAAGGTTCTTCATGGAACCATCAAAGTCAATTCAAAACCTTCATTTTTAGCACTGTATTTAGTACTATGGGCACACAAGAACATGAACACTTTTTTGCTCTGTTGTTAATCTGTATTTCATACTGGCAGTGTTTTGTATTATACAATATTCGTGTGAAATATATTTGTGTATATTATGTTTGTTCTGCTATTTGCCATGAACATTATTACTCGGCATTTCCCAGACTGTCACAGTCTTTATCTTGGGTACGCAGTCACGGTTGGTTAACCTTGTTTTTACTTCTTGAATACCTCAATCTTCCTCTGACGACACATGTTCATCTGCACAGAAAAGATAATGGCTTTTGATCTGTTAGATCAGACTTTATGACTGTTGATTCAATTATCTTTGTAATTTTTTTTTTTTTGCATAGAATTAATTTCAAAAGATTTGCTTCCTCTGTTTTAACGATTTATGAAACTGGGTTTGTATTTGTTTGTATTGTTGCTTGTGTCACAACTTATAAGCTATACAGGTAACTTTTAATTGATCTTTATATGAAAACAAAACACCTTTTATCTCCTGTGCTCACCGTTTAGACATACATCACGACAGCATTGTGCATATAGTATATATATATATAGCTGCTATGCATATTATTTGCATTATTAGCAAAAAGCTTAATCATATTTTATATAGTAGGTCATTTATGTGTGTACGTCTGTATATAGATCAAGTTGGCCACATTTACCACTTCCTGTTAGTGGAAACTGTTTCTACGAAGCAGCGAGAAATACATTCTTCTGAAGCAGATTAGGAAAACCAACAAACAAGTAATTTCTGCAGTACACCTTGCCGATTTCATGACAGGAACTTTTTGAAATGTGTTGCGTGGGTGTGAGAGGATGGACATGTCTCTCGTTTTATTACTATATATATATATATATATATATATATATATATATATATATATAAATCATATAATAAAATTCATTGTAGTTTTTTGTTGTTTTTGCCATGTTGTCCCCGGGTTGTCACTTAACATAAAATGTATTAAAATATTCTTGGGAATGTTGTTGTAATCGATCCTCAGTTTATAGGATATTCCTGTGTTCTCAATTTTCGCTTCATTCTAGTCTTTTGCAATATCCCTTTAACTAAAGTCATGACATCATCCTCCAGGAAGTGACAATAATTAGCCAGGTTCGATTGTGATGTTTTGTTGAATTAGTTGGTTTGTCTCACTTTAGAACATTCCGTCCAACATTCTAAAATGAACTTACAGAAATTAATATGAACCAATCATTTATTTGAAATATTTAGATTGTATTGGACACACTCAGTAATGCCTACATTTAGCGCTTTATTCCCATCCTGTTAGTTTTCTGTTAATGTTCTTATCACTAAATAATCAAGCTATAATTAAAAGAAACGATTAAATTATTATTTATTTCTGGAACTCTTCTACATTTTCAAATGAATACTTTTTGAGGAATGGCATGTGTCCTGTTTATTCCACGAGATGGCGGCATAATTACCTGTAAAAAAATGGCTACAATGTATTTTATCACTATTTGAAGTTAAAAGTGTAACAGAGCTAGGGACGATTTTTCACCAATTATTGCAATAATTGACCTTGTGCGAAAGTGCTGAACTAGGTTTTGAAGGTTATGCTTCTTGCAGTACTGTACTGACGTTTAAGTTTAGTTTAATTTTGTGTAGGCCTAAAGAACTAGTGTTCTATTATTGTGTAAACTATTAAGGTATATCATTCTTGATTATTCTTCTTGCTTAGCTTTTTAAATATTTGCAATGATAATAACTTTAGTTTCCACCAAATAAATGATACATTTGTTGTTAATACTGGGAAATAATAATACTGAATGGCACAAGTCTTTGCAGTAATATTAGCTAGTAACTGATATTTTTCCGGAATGTACATGTACAGTACAATGGTAAGTATTTTAAGGGAGATAATAGATGATGATCGGGTGATTATTACACACCCAAGATGGCCGTCTATCTAGCCCGTCAGTGTGTAGGAATGTGGTGGGCGGGGCTTTTGGCGCTGGTGGCAAAGTTTGGGAATGATAGAAAGGCTATTGAAGATAATCGTGGAGAGGAACTGGAATGCTACTGCTTTGCGGATTACAGTAACATTTACACGTTGTTTTCTGCAAGCACCCAACACCAGTGCTTGGATTCATCAGGATCTAAATAAAGGTACGCAATCCTGAGACATGTCGGAGGACCTGAGCTCCCAACCCTGGTCCATCAACAAGGATGACTATGAGCTGCAGGAGGTTATCGGTGAGTGTGTACCTTATATGATAGCCGGTGAATACATAGGTTTGTGTGTATCTAGAACTCTTATTTGCCACAAAACGGTGCGTGAAAGTGAGTTGTGCGTGTTGTTGTTGTTCAATGTACAGTAGGTTGGTGGTTCTGTAAATATGGGGTTTTAAATTGTTTTTAAACCAGGGTTTGTGATTTTAAACTAATTAGCACTTGTTATAAGCACATGACATTAGATTTCAACTCAAAAAGTCTTAATTTGAGTTAAAAGCTAATGAGTTAGGTAGGTGTCTGGTGGTCTGCAAAAAACTCAACCTCCACTTCAGTTGTCAAGCCTGTCACGTATGCCAAATTCAACCTCTCTCTCTCTCCCCCCCCCCCCCCTCTCTCAACATATTTAACCGTTCACCACCTTACTGAAATGCAGGTGGTGTAGATGTTGAAGTTTAATGGCACCCATGTGAACAGCCGTTTGACAGAGTTTGCATGGTAGTATTTGAAGACATCTGCCTAACAGCAAAATTATTCAGCAAGCGACAACGCCTCATTCTGCTGATAAGCCCGAACACGTGCAGTAACACTTCTTCAGTAATGACACCCTTTTTATTTCCTTCTTTAATATTCTCAATTCTCAGTATATTGTAGTGCACCTATTGGTTGACAGAATTGTGGTACCGCCCACTTTTACCTTTGGTTAAAAACTGCTTACTGACTAGTACTCAGCGTTTGTTTACAGATGACTGTTGAAACATTTCTAAGAGTTAGCATGGTCTGCTTAATTTAGAACCGAGTCATATGTCAGACCGGTGAGAACCATACGTCTTTTCATTGTGGGTCTCAAAAACCCACAGAGAACGTCCAGCACGAGCACATGCTGTCATAAACTAGTGCGCGCGCAGACTCTATACGAACCTCTGGCTCTGTAACATTCCATTCATGCATGGGTCATCGCTCCACATTTACATCAGTGAAAGTAATAAATAAAGATCATGTGATATTTATTTATTCATGGACTAGATAGTGTTTTGGTTGACAATCAATTTTGTATGACCTTTTATATTCAGGTAGTGAATAAATAACTCTGGTGGTTTGGTCTGGGGATGCATTGAACAAGATGTTTGACAGTATGGTTTCTCCCATTTGTTCTGTAATAAGTGCACCATATGTGGCTTAACATTTTCCACCACCCTCTTGTCGTGTGGCCATAAAGACACTGTCATAAGCTGTAACTCTTTTTGATGATCCATGACTGACCAGCAAGTTTTTACAGCCAGTCAGTAAGAGTAAGGTTCTCCAATGATCTTATTCCATGTGTTACTCTCTTCATTCTCTGAGCACTTTACTGTTTGATTTAATCTCGTCACATCGCAGGGTTTTAGCAGGAGATTACCTCCTCTATGCACAGTCACACGAGTGCTGGAAGAGTCATCTGATACCTGACATACTTCTTTCCAGAGCTTTAGACCCCAAAGGGAGCTTTTTGCATGTTCCGTGTTTTACTAGTTTCCAAAGCTGTAAAGCTCTCGCCAGAGTAACTCATAATGCAGTTCAAACTTTAACCACTTTTTTAGTATTAAATTGGTAATAAATTGCCCTCATCCTCTATTATAGTGTCACGTTTTAATAATACAAAAACAATGGATTAAAAATATGCACAACTAACTGCATCACATAAAATATTGATCTATATTGATTTTTGCTTGCCCTTCTCTGGAAATAGATATTTTGACATTTATATATATATATATATATATATATTTTTTTTTATTCAAAGTGACTGTGAACATTAGGTGGTATATTATATATACTTGATAATGGCCCAAGTGTTCAACAATTAAATTAGCTTTTTCTCTAAAATTATTACGCATTAGGGCCTAGCCTGTGTCTAGTTTCCTAACTGAGTGTGTGTGTGTGTGTGTGTGTGAGAGAGAGAGAGAGAGAGAGAGAGAGAGAGAGAGAGAATGTAAGACTGGTCAAACCTGTTACCTTTTTTCTACTATGTCTCCTTTTTTGACTCATCAGCTCTAAAAGTACCTCACACCTTACATGTCAACTTGTGGAAGAGGAATGTATCATCTTTCATGCTTTACGCAGACACAAAAATTACTTTGATATCTCAGCTTCATGTTAAAAAGTATCCTTAGTCTGGACTTGTCTTTTAATAAGTCATCTTTCTTTTTAAAGCTTTTTATCGAAGTGCACTGATATAGCCTAGACCTCAAAGTTTCGGGTTTGTTTTTGTAAGCTGCAATTTACCCAAAAGATTTAGTTATTATCCCCAAATTCCTGGAAACACCCTCTGTATGTCTCCCTGTGAGAATATGTTGTGCCCTCTAGCATGCACCTTCAGAATTGCTTCTTTGTTGTAACCTGGCATGTGACGTGACATGCTAAAACAGGAGTTCATGCTAGAGGCGAGTTTGATTGTACACCTTCTGGAGTTCAAGTTTAAGGTTGGACATCTCAAGCTTCAGTATCTTGTTATAATCATACTGTACTTAAATCGCAGTCTCGGACGGTTACTATTCTGTCTTTAAACTCATTCCCAGGTGTCCCAGGACCAAAATAATTGAAACAGTGACGTTTGATAAGCTCTAAAGTCCCGTTATGGCAAGTCATTTCACTCGGCGGCCATCTTTGAAACGCCTCTTGGGCGGCTATTTTAGGCCCCGTCCACACTACTGCGTTTTCGTTTAAAAACGGAGACCTTTTGCTACGTTTGCACCTCCCGTCCACACTAAAACGGCAAAAACGGAGACCCAAAACGGGGAAGTTTAGAAACGCTGCCGACCCGTTTTTCGTTTTGAATCTCCGGAGGGCGTTTTAGTGTAGACGGGTCAAAACGGAGGACTTTAGAAACGTTGACGTAGAGGCTCACGCTCGGCTCTATGATTGGGTGTCATCAGTCATGGCGTATATCTTTGCTAGCCACTGTTGTACAAGTAAATTCTGCATTTTACAACGCTATAACTGCCTACATGCGCCGGAGTCAAGCTATTATTCGAGTGATCTGTGACAATTCCCATGTGCAGCGGCGGCGTTGACCGTACGGAGCGTCGGTTTGTGGTTAACCCAGAGCATGGTGGGATAATTTTATCAATGAAGTTGTGTTTACACCGGGACGCGCATGCCCAGTGTTGGTGAATGGTCACGTGATCCACGTTTTCAGTCGTTTTAATGTGGACGGAGATCAATTCTAATACGCAGCTAAAACGCTGGTGTGGACGGAGATCGTATTCGTTTTAATTATCCGTTTCTAAACTAAAACGCAGTAGTGTGGATGGGGCCTTAGTCATGCTTGTACAGCTCCTATCTCTTTGAATGGGGACGCATCGAATTCTCCAAAGCTGTTCAGCAGGCTTACGATTAAATTTCATATTTGAATTCACCAATGAAATCTGACAACTGTTTAATAATCATGACAAAAACCTGCGTTTTTCAGGCTGGACCAGCCAATGGCGCATGTGCAGTCATAAGCAAGCGTCTCAGAACACTGAGTGTTTCTATCGCAACTGGAGCTTCTAATGCCAGCTGCAGTTACGCAATGACTTTACCAATTGGCGATGGGCTAATGGGCTTATTTGGAAGGCGGGTCTTATTCTACTATATTGCGCTTTGCACACTTTCTCCCATAATATGAGTGCACCGTCTTTGTACATCTGAAGTCTTTGTTAGTGCTTCTGAAATGGCCATTTTGACTGTGTCAATAGCTATGTTTCCATCCAAAGTTGTGAATTTAACTTATGCGCAAAATGGGAATATCACTTTGACGACAGACTTTGTCCAGGCATTTTTTTAATTATTTTGATTATTTGAATTGGTCATTTCAGAATGACCAAAACAGCATTTCAGATGCTTTGCAACAGGATTGGTCCGCTGGTTAATCCAGTTATGCCGTCCTCTCGCACAAAGGCACATGAGTTTTTGATGCGCATTTGTAGAATTTAACCGCATCTTGGCGTTTCCATCAGTGCTGTTTTTATGCGATATCCCAAAATGCACGTAAAAATAGGTGCATGGAAACATGGCTAGTAACTATTTTGTGCACAGCGTGGATAAGCTACAACAGGTAAACATGTCAGCTGTGTCTAGGGTTTTGTTGACAATATCGATTTCTCGATTTTAATCAAACTTCATTCTGATGAACCAATTCTTTAATCCCAAAATCTGTCTTTTAGTTAATAGCCGCGTTTCCACCGCAGGAACTTTCCCCAGGAACTTTGGGGTGGTACTCCGTGTGTTTCGACCGCAGGAACTTTCCCCAGGAACTTTGGGGTGGTACTCCGTGTGTTTCAACCGCAGGAACGTTCCCCAGGAACTTTGGGGTGGTACTCCGTGTGTTTCAACCGCAGGAACGTTCCCCAGGGACTTTGGGGTGGTACTCCGTGTGTTTCAACCGCAGGAACGTTCCCCAGGAACTTTGGGGTGGTACTCCGTGTGTTTCGACCGCAGGAACTTTCCCCAGGAACTTTGGGGTGGTACTCCGTGTGTTTCCACCGCAGGAACTTTCCCCAGGAACTTTGGGGTGGTACTCCGTGTGTTTCGACCGCAGGAACTTTCCCCAGGAACTTTGGGGTGGTACTCCGTGTGTTTCCACCGCAGGAACTTTCCCCAGGAACTTTGGGGTGGTACTCTGTGTGTTTCCACCGCAGGAACTTTCCCCAGGAACTTTGGGGTGGTACTCCGTGTGTTTCCACCGCAGGAACTTTCCCCAGGAACGTTGGGGTGGTACTCCGTGTGTTTCGACCGCAGGAACTTTCCCCAGGAACTTTGGGGTGGTACTCCGTGTGTTTCGACCGCAGGAACTTTCCCCAGGAACTTTGGGGTGGTACTCCGTGTGTTTTGACCGCAGGAACTTTCCCCAGGAACTTTGGGGTGGTACTCCGTGTGTTTCGACCGCAGGAACTTTCCCCAGGAACTTTGGGGTGGTACTCCGTGTGTTTCCACTGCAGGAACTTTCCCCAGGAACTTTGGGGTGGTACTGCATGTGTTTCGACCGCAGGAACCAGGGTCTA